AAGGTCTGAGTCTGGGCGCCGGAATGCCGGATGGCGCCAAGTATCAAAAACCTGAAGTGCCAAAGGAGGAATTTGAGAAAGAGCGCCAATTGCAGAGGGCGCCAACAATTAGGAACCGGAGATCAGAAACTCAAAATAATAAAATAGCAACCTGGCGGGTGGTAACCCATGGACCCGGGATCGAGCCCTGGTTGAGTCCCTAACACTATCCCCTCTCTCTGGAAGGCAACGTCCCGAATGCCAAAGACCCAATGAACAATTGTGAATGACGGGACGAGGCTGATCACTGGTCAGAAAAGGAAAAGGGGAGTAATGCAATTAGCAGGGCAATCCTATTGAGGTTCTACGAGGATGAGGGGATCAATGCTTAAGTAACAGGGTAATCCTATTAAGGTTTTACAGGGACGAGGGAATCAATGCTCAAGTAACAGGGTAATCCTATTGGTGTTCTACGAGGTTATAGGTTGTCAGGTTTGAGGGAACAAAAAAAAAAAAAAGTTTGTTCAATGCTAAAGTGCTAGGGTGTCTGAGGGGTCTGGGAAAACAATGTCTCATTTCTGTAACAAAATGTCAAAAGTGAAAAAAAATATCTTGAGGAAGGTCTATGAGGGTGTCAGGGAAGTGGCAGTGAGGAAGCAGTCTTCAGTAATTATGTGATGTAGACGACGAGGGCTTCAGCTTGATTGTCCACGTAGCAGGTTGCGTCCGATACATGATCTGATGACGAGGTCTGATCCGGATAGCAGGTCGCAGACTGACCTTGATACCCATGTCAAAGGTGCTGCTTCGGAAGTCTGCGTGTCCAAGGCGTCGGCCAAAGGGAACAGCATGGCGGCCAACCAGATGTCTTATCTCCTCGCACTAAGCAGACATGCCATCGTCGGCGTGCGCTTGCCATTAGATCCTTTATCGTTGGCGATGCTCAGGGGCCAGAAGTAGGATTTGGGCAAGAGAGACAGAGATGTGGCAGAGGATAGATGAGAGAACGGGACGAGACAGAGGCAAGAGGGGATTAGACAGAGGGAGGTCAAGGGGCAAGGGTTTTGCTGGGTACAGGGGATGTGTATAGCGCAAGGAGGCAGGGTTGAGGCCGGGTTTAGGCGAGGTTTAGCCAGGGCTTAGGCATAGTGGGTAGCTAGGATATAGGATGGGCGCGATCATAGGCGTGGATAAGTTTCATGCCATTCTTAAGGTTAGCAAGAGTTTTCCATGTGGATTCTTCGCCAGGTACCCTGTGCATTTATCTTTGTATTACGTGATTGGTTTAGGGTGGTCAGATACCTAAGTAGTTCTTCGTCCTATGATGACTTCAACGACGAATTCACAGCCTGTAGGTAACATTATTGGTGGAGGTTTGGGATATGGGTAATCAGCGAATTGAGGTGGGGATTCATGGTATTCTTTTAGGTATTCTACGTCGAAGACAGGGTAGAAACTGCCCATGTCAGGGGGGAGTTGAAGTTCGTAGTTGACAGGGGAGGTTTGTTCAATGATGAGGAACGGTCCGAGCCACTTGTTCGAGAGTTTCTTGGACAAGCCGTGTTCGGGTTCAAAGCGTTCGGGGGAGAGTCAAACTTTGTCCCATACTTTGAAGTTTGAGTGACACGTCACGTCTGTGTTTATTGGTATTGTTTGCTTGTTGTTCTTGTTGGCTTGTTGTTCTTGCATTCGTTCAAGGGCTTCGGTGACTTCCCAGAGGAGTCTGTTCATTGTTTCTACCCATTCATTGAGGAAAGGGCAGGGGGTGGAGGGGTTGAGTTGTGAAGGAAGCAAGAAGCCGGACGACAAGTGAGGATGGTAGCCAAGGTCGAGGTAGAACATGGGCATGCCAGTGGTAGGGCAAACAACATTGTTGTAGGCGGTCTCCGCAGTTGTGAGCGATTGTTCCCAATCGTATCGGTGTGGATGAGAATACATCCGCAAGTTTCTTTGGAGAGTATCGTTCATCTTCTCGGTTTGTCCATCAGTCTCATGATGGAATGCAGTGCTATACTTGAGCGTGGTTCCGTAGGCTTTAAAAAAATGTTTCCAGAATTGTGAAAGAAAGCGTGGATCATGGTGACTGATGATATTCTCGGGGAGACCATGACGACGTGCAACGTGATAAAAGAAGAGAGTGGCGACGTCCTTGGCGTTGTGCGAAGTAGTGTAAGGGATGAAGTGCGTGCGTTTGGTCAAGCGACAGACAATGGCACAGATGCATTCATGGCCTCGGTCAGTCTTGGGGAGACCACACACGAAGTCCATAGAGATGGACAACCACCGGTGGGTGAGAATAGGCAATGGCTATAGCTTCCCGGGTTTGATCCGGTTTGACGGGTTGACGACTTGACATGTGGGGCATGAGCGAATGTAGGCTTTGACGTTGGCAAGTAGGGAAGGCCAGTGGAAGTATCAGGAGATGGTGTCAAAGGTTTTCTGGAACCCGAGATGTCCCGCGGTCTTGGCGCCGTGGTGCTCGGCCAAGATCTAGGTACGGAGGCCACGTGCGTCAAGGATGCAAAGTCGTGAGTGCCTCTGATATGGATGTGGAGAAAATTGTCGTGAAGAGAGTAGTCAGGGACAGGGTCCTGGACACAAAGCTTGTTGTAGACGGTGGAGAAGTCGGGCATGAGAGGTGGCCTTGTGTATATGGGTGATGGAGCGATGAGAGGAGCTTAATGTGGGCCATGGAGGCGTAAACTTTCTAAGGGGGCTTGTGGTCGGGGCGTCGAGAAAGGGCATCGACAACGCAGTTGCTTTTGCCCGGAGTGTGGCAATGGTACATGTGAATTGGGCAAGAAAGTCTAACCAGCGGGTCTAGCGGGGCGTAATGTCTTTCTTGGTGAGAATGAAGGAGACTGTGGTGTTGTCGATGTGAATGGTGAAGTATTGCCCGTCGAGGTACGGGCACTGGACTTTGAGGGTATGGATTACGACGATGAGTTCCTTCTCGTCGGAGGGGTAGTTCATCTCCGCGGGAAGGAGCTTCTTGCTTGCGAAGGCGATGGGGTATTCGCCGGGTGGAGCCTCGGGGTGGGTGGGAAAGTCTTTGATGGAGGGGGTTTCGGAGGTGTCTCGTGGAAAATGCTGCGAAAGGACAGCTCCAATGACGACGTCGGATGCATCAGTCGTAACGTAGAAATGTCGAGAGGAGTCGATGATCTTGAGGACATGGGCAGTGATGATGGTTTGCTTAAGTAAGTCGAAAGCATGTTGGCGGCGATCGTTCCAGGAGAAGGGCTCGTACTTGTATGCGAGTTCGTGGAGCGGGTATAAGATGTCAGAAAAGTTACGGATGAAGGGGTGATAACAGGCCGAGGAATGAGCAGAGTTGGAGTAGGGTTTTGGGTGGGGGGTACTCGACGAGGGCGGTGATCTTCGAGGGGTCCATGCGGATACCTTCAGTAGAGACGATGTGGCCAAGGTATTCTATTGTTACAACAAAAAAGGTGCATTTGCTGAGCTTGGCGTTAAATTTTTGCTCTCTCAGGATGAAGAGGACTTGGCGAAGGTGCTGAAGGTGGGACTCGAAGGTGGGGCTATAGATAAGGATATCATCAAGGTAGATGTATTTAAACGTTCAAACGGATTACTGGGGCAAAATTCCTTGGACTTCAGTCGAGAGTTTTGTCTTCAGATTCCAGACTAGAATGTGGAGGGGGAGTTGGTGAGTCCGAAGAGGCATCGTGAGGAACTCGTAGTGTCCGAAGCGAGAACGGAAGGCGGTCTTATGGGTGTCCTCCTACCGGATGCGGATCTGGTGGAAGCCACTTCGGAGGTCAGCCTTGGTATATTTGGGTTCGTGGAGGCGATCAAGAAGCTCGGAGATCCGAGGTAGGGAGCACTTGTTCTTGATCGTGATCCGATTCAGGGCGCGATAGTCTATGCACATCCTTAGTTCTGAGGTTCCGCCTTTTTTTCCGAAAAGGCAGGTTGTACCGAAGGGGGAGGAGCTTGGCTTAATGAGACCTTTCTCAAGAAGTTCATTGAGTTGCCGCTTCATTTCTTCGACTTCCGGGACGAAGAGTTGGTATGGAGGGCGGCACGACAAAGAGTGGTTTATCTGTAGAGAGCGAGTCCTTGGGACATTCGTGATCAAGGTTAAGGCAATAGTAGGTGGAGTTGGGGTTGTGACGGGCCATGTGGAGAAACAGGTGGGGAGTGACAAAGTTTTGGGAGGTTGGGTGGAGGAAATAGGGGATGTCGATGGACGTGTCGAGGGGGTTGGTGAGGTGGAAGATGTTGGGGTGGAACGCGTATGGCATGTAGTGGTCCAACCAAGGTGTTCCCAAAATGATCTTGCACATCAAGTGCATGACATCGAATGAGTCCTGACTGCGGAGGGTTCCGATAGTCATGGTGGTCTCGAGGACCGTGCGGTTTACTATAACGGCAATGTCTTTGTCCCCTAAGTGAATGGTAATCGGGGAGTCGTAACCGGCAGAAGTGAAACCAGCTTTTCAGACACACAATGTCAAGGAGGGCCCATAACTTGGTTGTAGACGCACCAAGGGTGGCAACGATAAACTTACGGTGGAAGCGGGATGAGTAGGCGGTGAAGATGATGGCGTTAAGGTGGCGTTGTTCGGTGCCTAGTCTGACAAGCCGATCGTGTCGGGGTTGTTCTTCAACAACATTAGAGAAGGTGATGGAGGATAGATTAGGGAGAAGGGTAGAAGAACATGTATCAGTGGGAGCAGTGTCAGGCGACGTGGGCTGCGACGCGTGGGGATCGTCCGGTGGGAAGTGCATCACCAAGGAGGGGGGGTGCAAGCGAATTGTCGATGCCAGTTGGGCCAGCGGTGGAATAGAGGTCATCAGTGATGTGATGGCCGACAGACTAGTCGTCCATGACGGGGCGGGTTCGTGGTGATCATGGGGACAGTGTTCAAGTGGAGGAGAGACCGGGAGTGTTGGACGTGGAATCGGCGGGTCGGGGGGCCGCGGACCTGGGTGTCTGACATGTGAACTGTCTGGCATTTGGATAGTTTGTCTATTGATGTCCTAACTGTTGGCAACGGAAACATCCACCCTTTGCTTGGAGGTAGGTTCGCTCCTCCGGCGTGAGTTTCGTGAGACGGGTTGGGTGGGTGTTTATACGAGGATGGCTGGTGCGTTCTCTCTTTTCCATCCGTATGAGGTGGATGGCGAAGAGCTCGTCGGAGGAGAGCAATGTGGTGTTGAGTGGGTCGGAGAGGGTGTCGGGGTCGGGGGTGGTGAACTCGTTGGAGGAGGTGGTGGAGGTGGTGTCTTCGAAAGCGATGTTGTGGAAGACGCAAGGGCGGGGAGGAATCGATGTGAGTACGGTCTTGTAGGAGGAGAAGAGGCGGTCGATTTGGAGGATGTGAGTAAGAAGGTCGGCGAGGGTCATGGGGGCCTCGTGGATGAGGGCGGCCACAAGGTCTTTGCGGCATACGCACTTGACGCGGGAGCACAAAACGGTCAGTTGGGCCGTTTTGTTGGAGCCAACAAAACTGGTGAATGTAGTCGTCTACCGTTTTTTGGACGAAAGGTGGAGGTGATGATGGTGGCCCACTCAAGGAAGGAGTGGGGTGGGAGACTGGCGTGATGGCAGTTGGTCATTTTTGTGTACCACCAGCGACCGGCGTTGTCTAGGAGTCTGCTGTCGGCGATGGGGAGCCAATGGATGACGGGAATGTTGTAGAAGGAGAAGGCTTGTTGAAGTTTGGTGAGAAAAAGGAAAACATAGTCATGGGGTTCGCCTGAGAAGGTGGGAATCTCATTAGCGCAGAATGATGAAGTGTTTTTGCCGTCTTTGCGGGCAGTGGCGGCGAGGGCGTTGAAGTCAAGGGTGGGAGAGGAAGAGGCGCCCGGATGGAATCGTTGGTGGGGTTGGTGGGGATGAGAGCGTTTGGGGGAAGTAGTGGAAGAGCGGGATACAGAGCCAGTGGCATGGGAATGATCTAAGTATACTTGGGAAGGCTGGAGGTGATAGTGGACGAAGTCAAGAGGGGTTTTGATTGGGGGGGAATGGTTGATGACAGTGTGATGGTGGGGGTTATTGTCTGGGTGACCATGGTGGAGGTAGTGGTGGATGAAGGCAGGGGTGCGGATGATGTGCTACCGGATAGGGCGGTGGATGTGGAGGAGGAGGTGATTGGTGTAGATGTGGAGGCGGAGGATGGGGGAAGGGTGGTGGAGCACGAGGTGGGGGGGTGGTGACGATCTGGATGGTGGGGGTTTGATCTTCGATGGCGGTCACGTGGGCGAAGACGGTGGAGACGGACGCTTTGATGTCCGCGATGGACGAGTGGATGGATGTCACCATGCAAAGGAGTGTAGCGAGATCGGTGGCGGCATCGGGTGCTGGTGTTTGCTAGTATGCGAAGCCGCGAGCAATGCTGTCGATAGAGTCGGGGTTGGTGCGGATGCCGGATATATCAATGTTGGATGATTCGGCCATGGTAGTAGGGGAGGAAGCGGTGGTAGCGGCGGAGGAGGTGGCAGCTGAGGTGGTAGCAGCAGATGAGGTGAAGGCGGCGGCAACGGCGGCAGCAGCGGCGGGGTCGGCGGCTGTGTGTTGAGAGTTCCTGGTTGTGCATGCCATGCCCGAGGGGGGGGGGGTCCTGTTTACAAGGGTAGAACAACATCAACTATTTTAGCAATGAAGATAATTTCCAAATAAAATTTGCAAAACAAGAATTAATTTTGAATAAATTAATTCGGAATCTGGGCTACCAGAGTGGCCCAGGGCCACTTGCCCAGCCAGGCAACAAAAAAACAAACTTTATTTTTTAAACTTTATTTTTTATTTTAAATTTGGCAAAGAATTTTGATGTGACCGTGCGGCAAAAGTTGTTCAGTTTATGTTTCTGCATAACATAGTTTTGTTTCGGAGGGTTTTTTTCTTTTTTTTCTTTTTTTTTTTGGTAAGACCTTCCCTGGTCCTTGCACGGCCGGGCCGTCCGGGAAAATAGGGTGACCCGGGCAGCCCAGCTGGTAGCCTAGAAAAAAACAAAAAAAACATATATTGGTTTGTCGGTTGGAGGGCTGGTCAATCCGTCGATCGGTCTGTTGGTCAGTTGGCTGGTCGACCTCCAGGTCAATCCGTCGATTGGTCTGTTGGTCAGTTGGTTGGTGCATCAGTTGTCGGTGGGTTGGTCGGTCGGTCGGTCAGTTGGTCAGTCCGTGGGTGGGTTGGTGATCGGTGGGTGGGACGGTAGGTGGGTCGGTGGTTGGTGGGTCGGTGGGTGGGACGGTAGGTGGGTCGGTGGTTGGTGGGTCAGTGGGTGGGTCGGTCGGTGGGTGGGTCGGTTGGTGGGTGGGTGGATCGAGCTCGACAGTTCTTGCATGTCCTCTCTTGAGGACACGAGAAACCAATGACAATTCGATAGGACTGTGTAGGAGCTCCTTTGAAGTGCTTGGCGGGTCCTTTTGGCGAGTGCAAGAACGGCCCAGGCCCAGTCGCTCATTCATTCTACCTCGCGCTGCCTGATGTTGGAACACAAGTGCTTAAACCACCAGTACTTGGCCCAGCTATTGATGCCGAGCCAGGATACCCCCTCCTCGCCAAGTTTTGCCGAGCCGCCGGGGCACTGTTTCATTTTCATTTTGGCTGGCGCTTCCAGCCATTGTGGTTCGGTGCCCCGAAGCGAGCAACTACCGGCGTGTTAACGGGAATCGCCCATGGCCGATAGCTGGGCCAAGTACTGGTGGTTTAAGGAGGCAATAGCGGAGTGCTGGCGAGAGATGAGCGAGCCCCCATGCAAGCAGGGTAAAAAGTTCAACAAGCGAGCGTTGCCCAATGTCATGGTGAGGCATCATTATCCTGGAAGTTACATGCCCTTACAGAAGTGATTTGGTGGGATGGGCTGGATTGAAGACGGTTGATTTGTCTTTTGAATGGTAAATGCACCCCACTGCGAATTGTGTCGACGCTCACTTGCAAGGACACCGAGGTTGGAATCTGCGTCGTATCCATACCAACACTGCATTCCGTTCACGCAACGTCAGATATATGTCCTACCCCCGAGCTAAGTTCTGCAAAATATGCCCTGAAGGACCTGAACATTTCAGAACCCTTTCTTTATCCCATTTGTTTTAGTTTGCTTACTCCCTAACGACATTACATGGTCAAATTAGTTCAACTAGACGGGTGTAGCTGGGACTTGGCCCCTTCCTTCAAGTTGATTGGCATACTCACACTAGGAGTTTTCTCAAACGACTTTCTGGACGTACTTGTAGTCAGAGACGCCCCTGCCTTGTTGACCGTACTCACACTACGAGTTTTCTCAAACAATTCTCGACATACTTGTACGCAGAGGCATGTTCAAAGTCCTGGGCTGAATGTCCAATTGTGAGCATGCCCCAAACAATACATTTCAAACGATGTCACAAGGGTGGACTGATAAAGGGAGGAAAACAGCTCATGTAACTCTTAGAAAACAGCCCACGAGTTGGGATCGTGATCGAATCCAATGGCCACAATAATGTTAGGGGATCTTAGGATTTCTTCAGTTTTTCCTTTTGTGCGGATCTTGGTGAAGAAATGTGTCATGTCTGTTCGTCCGGTGAGAACTACATAATTCTTTTAGTTGATGTCGGTCGCACCGACTTTCCTGGTAGGTGGCCAGGTGGAACAGGTGGGGGCGGTAACTTTGGTTGTTGCCATTATCCAGCTTAATGTATATTTTTATTAATAAAGTCGCATTGGGAAACACACACACACACACACACACACACACACACACACACACACACACACATGGGAAACACACACACACACACACACACACACACACACACACACACACACACACACAGGAGGACAGACGAAAGCACGGACAAATACCACCACTATGGCAACATCCACAAACCCAGGACGTTTGGCGTTAGCAGTTCATGATGTCAACACATTTGAGAAACAACAATGCAAAGCAGGAGGAACACAGTCGAAATGAAATACCAACAGGACATAAAACAGTTGCAAACAGGAGTGAGGTTGGCACAACAAGTTCGTTCGCGAAGGAGTTGATATACACCAGGACTCTCCAACTCTGGGCACTGAGAGTTTTTTTTTTTTTTTTTTTTTTTTTTTTTTTTGAGGAGAGGGGGGGGGGGGGGGGGTGGGGGGGGGGGGGTGCACTGAGAGGGTTAGGAATAGAACCACCAGTTCTTCGGGAAGTGGCGGCGCCCAAGCGGCCAGCCATTGCTACAGTCCCCCGACATGTCCACTTGAATGAATTTATGCAGTGCCCAGGCTCATTCATCTGTCATGGCGCGGCATGCAGCCATGGCTTTCAGAAGCACACTGGTGGTTCAAGCAGCACAGGAGCTAATGTCTAACAGAGCCACACAAACTGATAGCGAGGAAAAACAAAATAAGGCAAGTCGAAATATGAAGTGTGAGGAGGTGCGGAGAATTGAGCGAGCCTCGCATCCAACAGCAGCGACCTTGGGTAGGGGTCCGACGGTTCAGGAGTCGCCAGAGGAGAAAGCAGTTCACAAAAGCAGGGAACACGCACGTTGTGAGTTGCATTCCCCTGAGCATTTTTTGCATTTCCGCTGGAATCGCACCCAGCGACTGCGAGACTGCAGAACCCCTGCGATTGATGACGGTAACCCAAACACCAAACCCTTAAGGTAGATTACACGATGAGGATTTCTGAGTAGGGATATGATCTTACAGAGTGATGGGCAGCCGATCCCTCGGTTGAGGGCAATCGATGCTGCTCATTAGGCTAACGCTGTGTGCCCGCGTGTCGGTGCATGTACTTTGCTTGTTTACAGTAGGATGGACACGTGGCATGCTTATATGAAAAAAAAAAAAAAAAAAAAAAAGGTAGGCAAGTAGGTCTCCCTTGTAACACACACCTGGGCCGAAGGCATTAATGATATCTGAATAGCATTTTATCATGGAGAGTCCAGTTCATCTCTATACGCCTAAAGCGAATAGCGGACCTCGCATGACACCCTTTGCGGGTCCAAGAAAAACTGCGCGGGGGCCGGAACCAGGTGTGCCATGCGAGGACCACGGAGGGTTTTCTTTTTCACAGGGCCGCTGTCGACGCAGTTCTGGCAAGCACGTATGTTAGAATATAAGTTCATAGCTCAGGATAGCTCACAGCTCACGGCAGGGTGTTAGGGTGTTTTCCACGTTAGGGCCTAGTTGCAGTGTTGCACTACTCGCCATCCATCAAATTTTGTGGCGGGTGCGTGGAGAGTGAAAAAAATGAGAATCGTTTTGAACTCGAGGCCTGGTTGCACTTACTCGCCACTATATTTCATCTACAGAAAAGTCATTTTTTTTTGTCTACCTGATGTCGACTCGTGAAGCCCTGCACTCTCCAGAAAGTTGTTTTGTGGAGAGGTCCGAGGACCACCCTCCACAAAGCGCCGTGCACAGGCGGGAAACTCAAAACACTCTCCACAACTTGCGTCGACTGTGTGGCGAGCCATCTGACACATTTTGCATTCGCTGAGTTTGGTGAGTGAGTGCAACCAGGCGCCTACTCGCCAAACTTGGCATATGGCGAGTAGTGAAACTAGGCCCTTTTGCGGAGAGGTCCGAGGACCACCCTCCACAAACCGCCGTGCACAGGCGGGGAAACTCAAAACACTCTCCACAACTTGTGTCTACTGTGTGGCGAGCCGCCTGACACATTTTGCATTCGCCGAGTTTGGTGAGTGAGTGCAACCAGGCGCCTACTCGCCAAACTTGGCGTATGGCGAGTAGTGCAACTAGGCCCTTAGGGCCTCGCCACACCACTATCGAAAGTCAACAAAAATTGACGGCTGCCAGAACAAATTTGACAGCCTCCAGTCGATAGTTTGCCCCCCTTTCGCCACACAGCACTGTAGAGTGCACGCACTTGTGAAAGCAAGATGGAAAATGATGAACGCGCCTGAGAGTACGACAAGCATTAGTCCATCCCGACCTTACCCCCACTCACCAAATTTCGAAGCGAAGTCGATGGCGCAGCCGAGGAGTGTCGAAAGCATCGGAGTAGCAGGCTGGGGATTCAACGACTTTCGGCAGGAGGTGTCGAGAAGCATTCTCTGACAACTGCCGAATTCTCTTCCCGTCTCCGACTTCGACAGCCTGTGTGGCGAAGAGAAACTGTCGAAAATTGCATTTTCGACAGCGGTGCGGTGGTGAGGCCCTTAGACATGACCCCCAGCAGATACATGGACAAAAGTGTTAACGTGTGTATGGGTTGTTTCGGGCCTTATTTGTCTTTTTCAGTTTCCTATCTTTTTTCTTTTCTCCGGAGCGGTCGTTTCGTTTTTATTTTTCTTTTGTCTTTTTTGGCTTAGGGCATGGTCTCGCGAGGACCCCAAACTCACCGATGAGAATGGATCTGCCGCTAGAACATGGAAAGATACACCGCCCACCAGATGCACAAAAGAGAAAAATTGTGGCGGTGTATCTTCTCATGTTTTCGTGGAAGATTCATTCTCGATTTGCACATTTGGTGGGTAGTGGAGCACGGCCAGTAGAAGGCTGTGGTGCACTTAGGTCCATGGAAAGACACACCGCCATATTTTTTGTCGTTTGTGCATGTGGTGAGTACTCACGCAAGGCCGTTAGTATCAGTCCCGTATAATTATACAGCCCCGTGGGACAGCAAATAATATTGCAGTGTATTCTCCCATGTTCTAGGGGAAGATTCATTCTCATTTTTCACATTCGGTCAGTGGTGAAGAGGGCCTCAATCTACACAATACTTCCGGTGTATTGTACCATGTTCTAGCTAGCAGAAGATTCATTCTCATTTTGCACCTTTGTTGAGTTCTGGACGCAGCCCAACATGTCCTGGATTTCGCTTTAAACCACCAGTACATCCAGCTATCCGTTGCGGGCCCTTTTCAGAGGCCGCCCGCCGCCGATTCAATTTATCTACCGTGCTCGGCCTCCGAAATTTTCATAGGCGATGAATTTTCTTTCCAGCAAGGCAGCAAGGCTGGGGCCGTGTACTGGCGATTTAGAAAAGGTGGCCCCAATTCAGGGGGCGATAGTGACAGCTGGCGCCCATGCCCTCTTTCTATGGTCCTTTTTCCCTGCTCAAGTGCCGCTTCATGACAATCCGGAGCTCTGAAAACTTAAGAGCAATGTACCTCCTTCCCCCGCCCCTCTTGGTCTCTCCGCCGCATCTGCGGCGGGCATCCACTTGTTTGACTAGAGAATTCATGCCCAAGTTTGGGAAGGTAGTGTGCCAAGATCCTACGTCAGAAAAAAAAAGGAGAACAACCCAGATTGTTCGCAAACGCCCCAACACGATCGCTTCCGCCCATTGCAGCGATGCCGGCTGTCTGGGCTATCAGCGGACATCCGACATGTCCAGCGGCCACGGCAGGTGCCATGGACAACGGAATCTGAGTATCAGGTCCTCTGATCGAGAGGTCCATGGAGTGAGTGGCAGGTTCAGGAACAAAGTGGTGGGTTCAGGGACGGCGAGTTGTCAATATGCTTGAACGATCTCGTGTGAGGCACGAGTTCAGCTGCACACGTAAAGGGCGCATAGGATCGCCCCTCCGCTGCGTCGAGGCAGGTGTTTCTAAGGGCTCCTATACATACTCCCTACACATGGCTTACACAGACACTGGTAGAGGTGATAAGAGCACCTCTCACTGGTATTCACTTCGCAGATGCTCCATGGTGGGGAGCAGCGTCTGCTACCGTACCGGTCCACGCGCATTACAAAAAAACACATACACATAGCCTGAGGGCACATACCTACAATACCCAACATTCACACATACGTAACCATAGGGGCTGGGAGGAGGTCACAACCAACTAATATTAGGCGTCTTGATGATAGGAGAGGGCATGAGTTACTAGTCGGTCTACTTAGGGGCTAATAGGTGCCTGGCGTCCGAAGTTCCCGTGCGACGAGGTTCGTTCGACTATGCTTCCACCAGGGCTGGGGCACTAGCCCTGGTGCCTGTCACTGCTGTTCGGTCCAAGTTCCCCTCGATGGTAGGGTAATGGTCCTGAGCGCTGGTCACGCTGAGGTAGGATAGTAGGAATAGGGGATGCGCTAGGAGTATTGACGTGAGAATGGGATGAGAAGGTAGCCCCGTCTCTTCAGGCTGACAGCTTCCGGCGATCAATGTGAGCCTAGTAACTGGCCTCTACAACAACCTGGAATTGAAAAAAAAAAAAAAGCGGGCAAGGATCGGACGTTTTGTGTCGCCAGCTCGTTCACCCCTGACTCCCCCATCCGGGCCTCTGCATGTCACTATACATTGGCGCCATACATGCACTTCCATACACCCGACCTGTGAGAGTTCGTTCCCATTTCCCTATACTCGACAATACGATTGCAATCCTCTATTCAGACATCGTATTCTGCACACATACTCCGTCACCCAACTGTTCACACATTTCCGCATCGCATATAGACTCACATACCGCGTCTCGCATGACATATAGACTCGCATCGCACGGACTGGACAACTTCGACGCAACTATAGATAGTTAGACATGACTCAATAGACAGGTATGAACTACTATGAAGAAAAACCTCCCCTCCGAGAATTGTCATCGAAAGCGTGATGAGCACAAGAAGAGCCGAAGCTGACGAGTCCTGACACCCAGAATTGATGCGTTACGCAGCGCCCTGCCTATCGCATCCTGGCATAAGGGATGGCCAGAGGGGTTTTCTAAGTGGGATGGGAACGGAGGAGAGAAAGGAGACGAGAACCCTACTTTTCACAATGATTCTCTCTCTTCCTGTACTCTTTCCCTCCGTGTCAGATGGGACATGCGATCTTCCGACACTGCACACAAGACATGTCCGCAGCTGCTATGCTTACGTCGTTTAGGGCCCATGCATAACACGCTTTTTTTTTTTTTTTTTTAACCACCTGATGAGTCCTGACACCCAGAATTGATGCATTACGCAGCGTCCCGCCTATCGCCGCATAAGGGATGGCCAGAGGGGTTTTCTACAAGGGATGGGAACGGAGGAGAGCGAGGAGACGAGAACCCCTCCATGTCTGATAGGACATGCGATCTCTTCAGATCACACACACACACACACACACACACACACACACGCACACACACACACACGCACGCGCGCGGTCACTGCAGACAAGACATGTCTGCAGCTGATAATATGCTTAGGACGTTTAGGGCCATGCATATCATTGCATAACACTCTCTTTTTTTTTTTTTCTTTTTTTTTTTTCGTCCTGCCACAGTAACAGGCAGAAAAGAACCACCTAAACCACCAGTACTCCGAGCCTGTTTTTGCCGACCCTGAATTTCACTGCGCTCCGAGTTTTGCCGAGCCTGGGTACCACTTCGTTTTCTTGCTGGTACTCTCACGGAAATAACAAGAAAAAAAAACAAAAGAAGAAAAGTTGCGGCCGTGAACCTCAGAAAAGAATAAAAAACAAAACGGAAACAGCTTTGACCGTGATTGCAGTTGTATACATTCTTGGAAGTGGTAGTGTGAGTGTGCCCTCAATGAGGGCATCTCAGCCCCGTGGCCAGGTTGTCAGATTCCAAGAAGAGAATAAAAGGGGGAAAAAACGGGCACATGGATCCGGCCGTGAAAATGGCTGGATACATTCCCCTAAGTACCAGTGTGATGAGCCTTACAATCCTCTGACAAAACACAGCTTGAGCAGATCACGRAMAGCTTGAGCAATTCACGGACAGGGGACTCATAAGAAACACACGACCAACAAAAAAAGAAAACAGTGACATTCAGAATGTGACCGCCTTACCTGTAAGGTGCATTCTGTGGAGGAAGATTGTGAGCATGGCCTCCTGGACTACGCAGCCCGACATCATTGCAGTAGAGAAAGCATTTTTTCCCCCCACTTTTTCCGTCACTATAAAATTCCGACCCTGTGTCCCACCCCGAAAAGTTCGGGTACTGGCCAAGACATCGTATTTTCTTAACACTGGCGGAGGTGCTGGTGGTCTTAAAAAAAGAAAAAAAAAAGAAAAAAAAAAAAGAAAAGAACCACCTTGGGATGATACCTGTACCGGCCTGTGTCTTTTGGACCTGAGGTTCAAAAGACAGGTCACCCAGTTACATGGAAAGTCCAAAGAGCATCATTATTCCTTAGCAGCTCCATGGCTGCTCTCTCGTCATAAGAAACATCAGGATCTTATTTCCAAACGCCGTGTGCTGAATTGAGGGACGCTGGATCTGTTTTCCACAAATAGCTGAAACTCAGACGGTTTGTTTTGTCACGGACTCATGGCTACTAAAAGGGATGCTGGACCCAGTTTCCAGCAGAGTTCTCATCAGGGCTCCACCAAGCAAAGCTGAGTAATGCCCTCAGTAGCTTCTGGGTAGAATTGTGAAGGCCCCAAGTTCCCCTTTTCTATTTTCGATGTTTTCAGATGGGCACCCGGAGCACGAAGCACCCTTGTTATCGTTATCACTGTTATCGTTATCACTGTACGTGACGGGAAAGATAGCTTGTATACATTCACTATCAGGGCCTGAGCATAGTCTTCCCCCGAACACAACATACCCTGATAACGTACTATGTATACAA